GCACAGCGCCACCATCAGCCAGCATCCACCATCTCTGCAGCAGGTGAGACTTCTTTATCCCTGACCTGGAGTCACAAGAGCTGGCTTTAGTCTGCAGCGTAGGCAGGCATTATACAAGCTCTTCTGGGATGATTACCAACTCTGAGGTAACATCACCCCTCAAATACCCCATCGGTGCTACTCCTCTATTAAGTAGCAAGGGCACTAATGCCCATGCCTTAAAAGAGAAATCATGGCTTTCACTTGACTGAGGGCTCTTCCTTCTCCCATCTCAGCTCCGGAGGGCAAGAGCTGCCTACATGACAGGCTGCAGTCCTAGGGCCTGTCTGAGCAGAGCCATTTTCCCCTGAAGCAGTACCTACGATGTGCTGGGCGATACGGAATGCCAACAGCATTTTAGCCTGGGAAGTACCAACATCTCCGATTTGGCTACGATGACCCAACGGAGTTTCACAACAGGACCAGCCTCATGGACTCAATGAGAACAGTTCTCCAGATCCAGCTGCAAGTGAAAGCAGCACCTCCCATTCCAGCCCAACCACATCTGGGTGCAAACGGCAGAGCCAATTTCTGGGGAAGAAGTGAAAGGGATGACTGTGCACGTGTGCAGGCAGGCACAGATGCCCCCCCCCGAATCCCCACCGCAGCCGGCCTGCTTCTCTGCGGAGGGACAAGCGCACACAGCTGGGATACCTGTCTACACCACACACACATGAAGGGCCAGTGATGCTACCCAGCTACTCCTAAGCGCAGTTTCTCACTCAGTGTTTTGGTTTCTACAGCTCCAGATTGTGTTCCTATCACTGCTCCAGCCAGCAGCCTCAGGGGAGGCTCTGCTCTTTGTTTCTGGTCTCAGACAGCTGTGCTGAGGAAGAATTTCACAACGGGACCAGCCTCACACCCGCAGAGAAAATATCTCTTCAGATTCCTCTGTTAATGAACTCATCAGCACAGCCTTAACCAGCAGTCACTGTGGAGGAATGCTGCTGGGGAGCACCCAGGCACCTGCAGGCAGGGACGGCTGCCTGCCAACTGCCCTCAGCTGGGGGACACAGCAGGGACCCTGGGGGGTCATACCCATCAGCTCAAGTGTGCCAAAGGCTGGGCTTGTCCTGATTAACTCCTGGTGACCAGCCCTGACCTCCCTGTCCCGGGATTCCTTCCCCACGGGAAGCAGAGCAGTTCTGACACTTGCCCTTGTTCAGCGTACACCAGTGGAACCAACTGTTGGGGCCATCAGCAGATATTAATCAATCAGCTCCCATGCGGTGGCTGCAGGACTGCCTCCAGCAGGGATTTTTGGCCCCTCACGTCAGTGGGGAGAGGGCTGGGCAGCGGGGAGGGGTGCCTGCCTTGCTGCAGCACACGCAGTTTGAAGCAATGACCCTGCCCAGAGCAGACCAGGGTCACAGGGCAGCACCCAGCCCATCACAGCCCTCTCACCGTCCTTCTCTGATCTACTCCGTGTCTCAGGAGACCTCCTGCATCTAAGAGAGGAATATTAGCCCTCTTAAGATGCACGTAACTCTGCCATGGTGCAGAAAACCTGTGAGCACGTGAGCACGCGTTTAGGCTCTCTGGGAAGAGCAGAGGCTCTGAGCAGTCCCCCTCATCCTTCACACAAAAGGGTGCTAAGTGAAGACTCTGCATCCCAGCCTGCAAAGCTCCGCTTTACCCTGCATGGCCCGACAAGGCTCTGCAAGGAGAATGTGACCATTCTCTGCCCAGTGGCATGTTCAGTTGAGTAACAGCAAAAAAGGAAAAGCCTTTAAGCATTCAATTACTGAGGCAGCCATGGTCTAAGGGTCCTGGAAGCAGTGCTTCTTAGGCTTTACCAAATATCCACAGGCAAGCACTCAACTCAAATCAAATGCTGTGTTCCTGAGCCCTGTATGTTTATGAATCATGCCTCTCTGGAGGGGACGATGTGCTCACCAAGGCCCCAGAAGCGATAAAGTCTCCACATGCAAATCAAGCAATGCAAGCTCTTGAACACGTGAAAAACATTTGTGCCATTGCCCAGGCCTGGCCTCACAGCTCTTCTCTTACCCAGGATGACCCAAAGCATCTCAGCACCTCCAGTGAAGGACAGAAGTCCCTTTTCAGGGAGGATATTTGAAAGTGTTCCTCTTGGCTGTTACAACAGAAAAGTCATAAAGAAGTGCCAGTGGCTCCTCTCTTCACCTAACAAGCCTCAGCTCCCTCTCTGATCCTGTGCTGTATGAGGAGTTTGATCTTGAGGCTTAAGGTGAGCTCTTCTCCCTAAAATGCCATTTAATGAAGATGTTTCTGTGATTCACAGACTTGGCTACAGTGAGCTAGAAAGAAACCCACAGATTTGGCCTGCACTGCTTCCTCCCAGGCAGCAAGGATGCTATCGCCAAGTAGAGGTCAAGAGTGTTCAGGACACTGCGGATGTATGAGTGTAACAGGGAAAGAAATGCAGTGATGGCAGATAACACTCCATTGCGTATGGTTTGTCAAGAGGAAGAACTGCCTTTGGTGGACAGGATGGAAGTAATAAAGCAAAATTAGCAATCATTGGAAAACTTCCTTCTGACCGTGATACCCACAAACACGTAAGAAATAGTCTCTGCCTGGCTGGGAGCCATGAAGAAAACAGCAGTGTACTGTGCTGTCCTAATTCCAGTCTGTGGCTGCTGCTCTCCAGTACCACTTCAGGAGTCTGTAAAACACTGATATTCTCTCTGTGCTTATCCAAGTACCCTTCTGTGTTCTGCAAGTTAGGAAAACCTTGGCTCACATGTCAACTGGAAACCATCAGAAAGTAAGACCGAAAAGGAAAAAACCAGTGTGTACCTGGTATGCAGTCCTTCCGCTGGGGGACGTGACTCGGGTGACAGAACGCCGATCCACCAAATCCAAAGCTGGGACAGCAGAGGGGCCAAATATGAACTTCAGCCTGAAAGGGACCGTGTCTCTAGTTAGGTCACACCACAAAAAGAAACCCCTTGCCGCAGCCTGAACCCATGGGATTTAGCCCTTTGGGGTCCAGAACATCTGCAGCCAAAGGTTCCCGTTGCATCTCAAAATCCCACCATTACAGCTCCATTAATTACGCTGCCAAGCAATGAAGTGCCTTTGTCACTGTCAGCTTTGCTGGTTTCACCAAGTGACCATCAGTCCCTGCCCTGTCCCCCTGAGACAATCCCAGCTGACAGCCGCTCTCCTGGAAGGCAGGCAGGGCTCAGTCCTTAAGGACAGCTTCCATTCTGCCAGCAATTCAGAGTCTACCCAATTTTTTATATTCTTAAGAGAATTTCCAAATTTCCAAGCTGCTCCCAAACAGTCTTACATCTCTTTGCAAAGTCCCACTTGCATTTAATTACAAGGCATTTTAAAGACTTTTCTTACACAGGACATTACAGCTGAAGTGTTTCTTCTTCAGCACTGTGACACAAACACTATTCTGGCTGCCTGCTGCACAAACAGGATATGAAGTGGTTCCTGTCCTGAACTAAAATGAGACAAAGTGCATCAGAGACACAGAAGTGAGATGGTTTTAGTCAGTCTCTATGACTGTGACACAGTGTTAGCCATGCAGGTGAGGAGTTATCTCTGAGCAGCGCTTCTGGCTGGACGGTCCCTTTACAGATCACCTGTTATTGCAAAGGGAGCGGAGGGGAAGCAGGAGGCACAGGCTGGCTGTACAGTGATCTGAATTTTGTGAGCATTCCCGTAGTTCTTCCAAGACAAACTCCATGTAGACAGAGCACTGGCACTTAATCAATTTCTCAAACATTGAATCTAGACTCTAAAGATGGAAACTTTGCTCCTGCCTAGCACCCTAAATACACTAGGTCTTCTTCAGGGGAGCTGCACCTCTGGCAGCAAAAGCGAGACGTGCTGGCAGAGAGAAGATGCAGGAGAAAAGTCCTGGGGGATGCACAGTGCTGGGGATCCAACAGAGGTTACAGGCAACAGGCAGTGTCACACATGCAGCCTTGTTGCAGTAAACTGTGAAACTGTCACAGGTTAGTGGGGGCAGGCAAACAAGGGCAGACGGAAGCAGACCTGCTAGTGCTAAGGGGAAGAGGGGTTTGTGCTCTGGGACACCCTAGTTGTGCATCCATGCTGTCCTGGATGAGTTGCCCTGATCAGATTATTGATCAGTTGGTCCGGAATCCCACTTCGTCGTGGCCACACATCATGCCTCGGAGCAAGGAGAGAGCTCTGATGATACACAGCTCCTTGAGCAATAGGAAATGCAGCAGCAGGGATCCTTCCTCATCCCAGGGAAACTGATTTAAGCCCTGGAGAACGAATGAGTCAGTTTGTGATGATTACATCTCCTCTATCCCAGTCACAACTGAGCCACAAATCATCCTTTCTCTACCCACCAAACTGCATCAATAGGAAGCTAAAGAATATCAGGGAAATAATTAAGACACTCCGCTACACATGGAGCCACCAGATAGCAGCAGTTTTACGTCTGTAATCCAGCCACCAGCAGGGCTCCGAGACAGCAAATTTATTCCAGATAAACCCCCGGGGACAGCACATGGCTTATGTCACTCCACCCTCCCTAAAAGCCCTTTCCCTTTCCTTTCCTTCCAAGCAGGACACATCACCACACAGGGACGCGCTACGGCACAGCATTGATGGATCAGAGAGTGCCTGAGATGGGGTAACGGCGAGGTTAGCCAGATTTGCTCAGGTCACATTAGCTTCCTGCAGAACACAGCCTGGACACAACTCGCTGCGCAGCCTCGATGCTGCGAGGCAGCTCCACGGAGGCACACGCTGGTGCCTGGCTGCTGCTGCGCTTGGTGCTGTAAAATTCCACACCAGCAAGTGAAAAAATAAAGAGCTGTGAGTCCTGAAGGCACAGGAATTTCCATCTACATACTCATTGTCTGCGCATCCCTGGAAGGAGGATTTTATCTCCTGCTGATGTACAAGGGTACATGATCAGCTGTATGTAAAATACGACATCTGTACCTTTAGCCTTTTGTTCAGATAGCTCATAGGCTTAAAAATTATTCTAGACCTGTATATCCAGCTGCTCGGAATGTGTTCCAAAGAGCTCAAGGGCAACTGAGTTTAACTTTTATTTGCTGAGAAAAATCTGTGTAGTCTAGATTAGTTATGAGGGTAAACAACAAGGAAATCAGCAGTGATGAAAAGATAACACAAACCATGAGCAGAGCAGAAGAAAGCAGAGGAACGTTTCCAACTCCAGTGAAGACACAAAGAGCCAAGGCAGAGCCCTGGCGTCGCAGCAGCATGGCTGACCTACGCGTCTGAGTCAATCTCATTGATAACAAGCCAAGCAGACAGACTTATTCCAGGAAGACCAAGACTTCAGTTGCACAAACTCAAAGCAACAAGGATTGGCTTCATCCGAGGACTGAGGAGGTGGGTGGGGGAACACTCACATTCCTTAATGATTAGGTTTGGGACTATAAGGGGGCTGAGTTTAATGAGTTTCAGTAACTCTTTCAAATTTGGGGAATTCTTTTTTCATGTATATAATTTGATCAGTCTAACAGAAAATAAGTAAGGGAAATGCCCAAAGGAAATGCAAGGACTTTAGAGATTTGGAAGAGATTCAGAAATTAAATCAGAATACTTCTGAGATGCTGGTCATAGGGAATTGATGGAAATCTGACTGCCAAGAGTTACCACCCAGCTGTTACTAAACTTAACTAGGGAATTTCTTTCCTCCTCTTTTCTTTCACGACAAGATGGAAACAAAAAGTGATGAGACTTGTCAAATACAATCCCACGCTTTAAAGGCTATCGTGGTCCCAGAAGAGGGAGCCGGCATGCACACCCTTCCCAAGGCATACCTTTCCCAAGTGTTATGTTAGATAACTTTGGACTCAAAGATATTAAGGCCTGAAGCGTTCCTGGTGATCTCCTCTCCTGGCTAGATTACAGGCAGGCAGGAACACAAAGTTAAAGATGAATCTGAGAAGCCTTTCTTACTGTGATGGTGCCTTTTCTCTACCTTCAACACCGATTAGTGAGGGCTGCAGAAGCTATGAAACTCGGATCTCTTAGGAGACTGCTTGGGAATGGCTGACATACTCACAAGCTTCAATCAACACAAGGACAATGAAGCCGACCTGAGCCTTCTCCTAAACAGAAGAAAACTCTCAGGATCATCCTGAAGTTAACAATTCCCTTGTGCAGAGGAACGATATGTTCACTTTTCCCTTTCTATCACGCAGGCCCATGACTCAAACAGAAGAAGGGATCTCAGGATGCTGCTGTGCTCACAGTGATATGAACGCAGTGAAGATGCAGCGCTCCAGCGGCATGAATCACTCTGAAACACAGTCCACTCTCACAGAAAACTCATCCCAGATCCGACAGTGGACTCAGAGCTCAGGTTAAACATTCTGGGTTTCTGCATGTTTAATCCACCCAAATTAGAACAAGTCATCACAGGAGATTCAGCGATACAGAGATAATTTCATTATCTCTGGAAAAAACCTTGAGATTCCCTCTTTGGGCCTTAATTTCCACTACTAGCAAAACCACACAGCAACTCTGCATGAGAAACATGTGCTGGTCAAACACGGGAAAAACATTGCGGCACTGTGACGAGAGCAGATTATCAGCTGCCCTTTAGCAGGATGCTTGGGACAGGCACTGAAGCAAAAAATACTTACCCCAGGAGCACGTCATCGGGGACTGCAAAAAAAAAGAAAATGATGCATGATTTTGCTGATACTTACCCCAGGAGCAGATCATCGGGGACTGCAAAAAAAAGAAAATGATGCATGATTTTGCTGAATTTCCCCACTGTGAGAGACATCAACATCACAGGGAGGCTCGTGTCTCCCTAACGCACCCGCAGGGGCCACACAGGACTGCAGCGCTCTAGCCATCCTCTCTAGCCACGAAAAAGCAACAAGGAGCAGCAAAATCATCCGCTATGGTAGTGCCAAGGCACTTATCAAGTACATTTAGAACCACAGGGATTAATTTTCAACTCTAGCCATCCTCTCTAGCCATGAAAAAGCAACAAGGAGCAGCAAAATAATCTGCTATGGTAGTGTCAAGGCACTTATCAAGTACAGCAATTAAATATACATTTAGAACCACAGGGATTAATTTTCAAAAGAAATGCAAAGGCCAAATATAATTACTTTTATAATATCCTACTTTTAAAAGCATACAACAAAAGGCATGCAGCCTCAATATCTTACTCTGTCACTTTAAGAAGCTGGTTAAAAATATACGTATTGGTTTCCCTTGGCATGAGTTGAAAACTCTGGCATCAAAACTTCTAAAATGTTGTTCTTTTCCCAACATAGTCTTGCAGGGCGCCACTAGTTCATAGCTTTTAACGTAGCACACAGAAACATAATGTCTTCACTTATTAGAACTTCACGTGAAAATGGAAAATTACACTTAAGAAAATTAGTCTTTCAGCACACAGAACCATAATGTCTTCACTTATTAGACCTTCACGTGAAGATGGAAAATTACACTTAAGAAAATTAGTCTGTTTGTTGTAGCTAACAGCTTCGGCTCTGATCATCCCATCTGATCTTTCTGTTACCACTAACAGGAGACAGTGCACTACGTCTCTGTATCCCACTGGAAGATCAGGACTTTTGACTTTAAAATCCTTTCTTCCAACAATTCAAAACACTCTCTATGACTTATGCTGTTGGTTTGACTTTTACAACTTTATTCTAATCTAATTCTCCAAAGCGATTGATCAGTTTGTTTCCACAGTTATGTCTCAGTGTAAGTCTTAGTACTATTTTGGTGTTTCAAGGAGAAGTATACCCTAAATGGAATGTTGATTCTATTTCTTTTTTACAACAGGATTTATAAAGCTCTTTTTAAAAGTCACGTGTAGATTTTGGATCTACTCTAACCTGACAGGAGCCATACTGCACGTACACCAAAAAGCTGTCAACGTGGTCACTTGGACAGCTTAGGCACTAAGTCTCTGCCCATTTCCCACTCACATGTAGTAGTCAAACAGACTGCTCTGTATGTTTATTTGGTTGTTTTTACTGCAGTCAAAATACTCCTTAAACAGACACTTCCCTTAGGAGGAACCATTCTGTGCTACTTATCAAGTAAATACAAACAGCAATATTCTTTCAGCACAGATCACAGAACTATGTTAGTAACCCAGAGTGCA